TATACCCCCCCCCCCCCCCCCCCCCCCCCCCCCCCCCCCCCCCCCCCCCCCCCCCCCCCCCAGATGACGGTCCGGTTGTGAAGGCTTACAATGGAGAAAACAGGATAATCTAGTTCAGGCAATGAATGAGAAGGTCTGGTGAGACCAAGCGACGTTGCAATCTTCGGCGATGACAGAGCACCAGTGTTCTTCTGCTGCAAACCTGTCAACGGAGGTCGTGAGCTTTGTATACCTTTGCCGTTGCCCGACGGTCGCCTACGGTGCGCACCGGGTGCGGCCTGTTGGCGTAATATGACATAACTACACATCTTAGGGATAGCTCCCAATCTTGAGAGAAATCCCAGGACTGGACGCTCTACTTCTAAACAACCAACGCTCGATCATAAACTGTGACTGGTTTTCAACTCCTTAGATCGCTACGGGCGATATCTCTTGCCGTTGAACATAACAGCCCACGAATATTTGATACCACGTGAGGTCTAAAGCTGAAGGAACCCTCCCCCCTCCTATGAGACGCTAAAGAGTCTATCCTCATCAGTATAGGTGAGCGGAGATGAATCAGGCGAAGGCAATCTCTGACGCCGACAAACAAAGGCGGTTCTCAGGTTGAGAGGGAGGCGAGGTGATGGTTAAGTAGGCCAATTATGTACAGTTCCACCAAGGGAGTAACCACCTTCCCCTCAAGGAAACGAGGAATTACAAGCCATGGCTCTGAAATGCTGCCAAGACGCTCTTGTCGATGCCGGCACACGAGACTGCGCCCTGTTTCCAGTACTAAGCACAGTTTCGGTTACAGGACCGGATTCCGTGGCTATGATGCCTTCTAACTCCGTTAGAGGGATTCCTTCTCACTAGTAGACTTGACCTGTGATGGTAAGGTACGAAAATGTCAACGATGTGCAGCAATCACTCGCGTCTATCCTGGACCTGCTCCGATTTGTAGAGCTACGTAATACTCTTGCAGCTCAGCATTGGCGACAAACCCCAAAGGGCTGAATTGAGCTTCACATAGAAGATACATGGCTTCCAGTTTTCTGTCATCAAAAGGGATGAACTAGAACGGGCGGTCTTAGTCTGGGCGCGGGCCGCCAGAATCCGTTATTTCTTCCCCATCCGTTTTCTCTGTCGCCTTGCTTCATGATATGCGGCCTTTATACATGGAGTAAAAAATATACATTGGGTAACGAGGTTCTTCTATCTCTCCAATCCACAAGGATATAAACGGGCTTGGAGTGATGAGGTGCTTACTGTACGCATCAAACCCCCTTCCTCCCACTGAACTTCTACTAGACCTGCTGCATCTGCTTTCTTAATCCTCATTACTCAGTCTTAGTCGTTATTTTTCCAGCACATGCCACAGCTTCGCAGGTTCGCGGATAGAGTCGTGCGTGTCCCCTCTTCCGAGGTCGACAACCTATCAAGCGCTCTCCGCAATGACGGACCACCACCAGCGGACGTGACCAAAACACCCTTACGAACCATCTTGGGCTTCCTCTACTCCCCATGCACCTTTATGCCGAGCTTCGCTGCATACGTCCCGGGTCGTGTCCAACAAATAATTGCTCCCGAGGCAGCAACTAGACTAGAAGAGGAGAAAGTTCAAGAATGCAGGACTGCAAAATTGGGAAGAAAGATCAAGACCAACGCATTGATGTCATCAGCGGCGGACATGCGTATCGCGAGAGATCCTGTTGTGCGGGTGCCGGGAAGGGCGACGTAGGAGGGGGCTAGTGACGGATGACAGACCCGATGCGAGAGGCTCGAGAAAATGCCGGTTTCCCTGGAGAACTATCTCCCTGAGTGGGACCATTGTCTTCAAATTACCAAGCTACGTGTACACTGTCCCTTCGGTAGTACCTGATATCCAGCCGTCATCGTCCTGGCTTTCTGTCCCTCTCCTCCTTTACAAGTTTATGCATGCACATCGTTATAGCTCTGTACTGATGACCCGATGCGATTATGCGACCGTTGCAACTCGGTTGGTTTTGTCCTTCTAATGCACACGGGACGAAGGACCAAGCTCTTCCGCCCAAGGGGACGACGTCTCTTTCTTCGTCGATGACGCCTGAAGATGACAATGAAACCTGGTTTTTTATGTTTTGTAAACACTGAGAACGAAAAAGTATATACGCAGCCTGTTTAGAGGGGGGGAGGCTCGCCGCTTGGGGAGCTCGGGAGCATCGTTAGGTTGATCAGATTAACGCGGCACGATTTGGACACATTAGCATCTGTCGGACCGATACAAAGACCAATTAATGCGCCTTTTCCGTGCCTCGTTTCGTTTTGCTGCGACAGAAATGAAATCCCTAGTGGGGTTTGGGGCGAGAGGCACAGCACAGCGTGATAAAAACGATGGCGTTTACGTGAAAAAACGGAGCGCCCGATGGGCGAGAACCGGTCGTCACTCTTCCGTTCGAATGAATCTTGGAGAATTGATCAGCCATTGTAGATGTAGCGAATCGAACGCCAAAGAGGGTTGGCCTGGCCTGCCCTCGTTTGGTGCTCTCAGGCATATGATTCGGGCAAAGCTCTTTGCAGCTCAAGCCTGCCTGCAATGAACTTTGTTTACATATTGCCGAAAAACCGCTTCGCCCACCGATCAGTCCCGTTAAGGGGTCGTTGAGGGTGTTCCACCGGGCTAGGAACTGATAAGCATCTCAGCCCAGCAGGCCATATAACTGCTCTTGAAAGTTTGAAGTGATTGTATTCTGGGACTTACTAGATTCTCCTCTTTCTTGGAGGCATTTCGGGCTGGGTCCTAAGCCTCAATAACGTCATGGTGGTCTGTCAACGGGGGTTCAATGAGAATATCTCGAAAGAATTTGGAAGTGAATAGCTCGGCTAATATATATATATTATTTCACACCCACACCCTATGTGGCTAGTTTAGACGATAGTTAGGATGAATTGCCCCAATCCGTGTCGATCCTCCTACCTCTAATGTACACACCGACAAACGCCGTTCACACCGTGTTCGACTTTGGACTAGACGCACCACCAGCCAACCGCTTCGATCCTACTTTAATGGCATCTTCAGCTTCATCTTCAAAACCATCAACTCCAGCATTGCCCGAAGAGGCTCTCCCAGTTAATCGTCATGCACCAACACCACTGGAACAGCAGCGGCTGCAGCTGGCAAAGTTGCTCAAGGACCCAACGAAGGAAGTCCACATCCCCAAACCTCAGAAGGAGAAGACTTTGCGAGCCCCGAGAGAGGTATGGGACAATAAATCATCGACGAAATTTGAATGATCATCGCTGACTATTGTTCTAATCAGTAGATGATGAAGAACGTCCAAGGTTCCTCGGCTGGTGCTGGTAGTGGTGAATTCCACGTCTATAAGCAGAGCCGACGGCGGGAGTACGAACGACTTAAGATGATGGACGAAAAGGCTCAAAAGGTACGCTTGAACATACCTTGATCCCCCTTTTTTTTACTCATGTGCTAACATCTACCTTTTGAATAGGAAGCAGATCAGGCCGAATTCGAGCGGAAAAAGCGGGAACGGGAGGAGGAAGCGGAAGCCAAGACAGCCAAAAACCGTGCTAAGCGGATGAAGAAGAAGCAAAAGGGCAAGGGCAAAGGAGATCAAGACTCCAAGGCTGCGGGTTCTACTCAGCAGTCGTCTGACGCTGCTGGGTCATCGAAGAAACGGAAGTTGGCCGACGGTGCTGCCATGACGTTCCGCAAGCCAGGAGAGGAAAGCGATGAGGATGACGACGACGATATTGGGCCAAATCCGGAATCTGGCGTCGCAACGGACGAGGCTGCCAACCAGTCCGAGGTGCCCGTTGTCGAAGAACAGAAGATTTTCATCCACGACGACGATTAGGACTCGCAATAGTCTTCCCTCGGACTTCAATGGCGCTCCCGACCAACTGTATCCCAACCCTTTTCAAGCCATATATGGCTAACCTTCGAACGATCAGAATTTAGTTGCTACCCCTGTACTCTTTAATTTGTTGCTGGTGGGGAATGCAATTTGGGAGGACGGCCTATTACCGTACGCTGACACATCAAATAGCTATTTTGCTGGACGCATGAACCCGCCCCAAACTGTAACTAATGCGCAAGACTTATTATATTCGACGAGGGGTAACGCCAGCTAGATGAACATCCAAGATAGCGACATCGTAGAGAAACCCTTTTAAGCCAGTCCGGAAAGCACTGCACCAAGCATCGTTAACCACCAAGCACGGAAGAGAGTGCTAACTCCCTCTTCCTCCATAATCCGGTTCAAGGTATGGCGAAGTCCCTTGTAAGGTTCTTCCCCGCTGGCCGACCTGAGATTCAGGACGTCTTCACCCTGGCCAATGTACTCCACTCCGGTTTCGCCAGACTGTGCCGCAGCCAATTCCGCATCCTCCTCCTCAAACTCGGCTCCAGGCGTATAATTCCGTTGAACCGACAACCGTTCTGAAACGACTTCGAGAGGGCAAAGGATTGCGGTTCCAGCGAGGGCTTGGAAGAGGATGAAGATACTGAGTTTGACGGTGGAGATCTTGCTCAAAGTTCCGTCTTCTTCTGCTCCATCGAGACCATAGGCCAGGGCGGGTACGAGAAGCACGCGGACTACGCG